TAACCACCTAATGTAAACCAATGGCAGCGGCCTCTAAGCCTTGCTTGCCCTTGCCTGGGGCCCTGGGAATTACCTAGCGTTTTCTTAGTTCCCTTGAGGAGAAGAAAAGAAAAAAGCTTCATCACCCTTGATCCGTTAAGGGTTTTTGGGGTTTCCACTACGGAGTAATGGTGTGATTGGGGCAACAGCAACACGGGTGACGGAAGAAAACTCCTCCTAGGTTAATCAACATCTAGCGCGCTAGGCGTCCCTAGTAAATATCGATCTGAAATAAGCAGAATGAATGCAACGATGATGGAATTGAAAAATGGATACGGGGTCGCTAGTGTTAGGTTATGGTGTCGCATTCGATCGTGGGGCCAACACGCCAGAGCAAGATTAGTGGCATGTTTAAAAAGTTTGTCAAATTCAACTTCCATGATTCTTTTCAGGGGGCCTTTGGGATGTAACGTTAATGCAACGTTGACAGTTTTGACATTTCAATAATTTTTTTTTCTTCGGGAGAACGGAATGAAAGATGATGATTAAAGTGATTACTCGGGGAGTGGCATGCATTAGCCCTTTTTTTATTTGTTAATCATCACAACTCTACGGATGCGGATCAACTCCTTCGCACACAAAAAGCCTCAATCTCCCTGCAAGCCACACGACTCCTGTCACACACACAGACAAAAACTTGCCTTGGATGGTAAGCACTACCAAGGCAGGTACAGATCCTTCTCTTCGTCAAAGTCGACCATCATCGCCCGTCTTGAGAGTAGCGGGCTTTCGGGTTTGATTCTCCCCCACTCATGCGCGTCGATGCAGGCCTGCCTGGACGCGAGAACGGCGGGTCGGGTCCGGCTCACGACTGTGTCTTCGTACCTGTCCAGCGAGGTTCGCAGATTCATAGACGAGGGTTCGGTACTGTGGTTGACAAAGTGAGGCGCGATAACCGTGTTGACCAGCTCAAGACAATCGACAATGGCATGATTGGCTCCTTCGCCTCGATCTGTTTGTTTTGTCCATTGATTTCAGTCAGAAAGCCACATTCACAATGAATAGAAAGATAACGCAAAGAATTGCCATGCTGGGAAAAGATGGGCAAAAAAAAGAGAATAGTTGACAAGAAACTCACACATGGACATGGGATGAAATGCATCACCAACGAGCGCCACACGACCGGTAGTGCGGAAGCCGCTGGGCGGCGCCCAATCGTGGAGGTCCAATGATTTGACCTGAGTCCTGCGGACCCCCTCCTCGTCATCCTCGAGCGGAAGGGTGTCCAACACGGCCGCCCGAAACGGGTCGGCCCAGGTGCTCGCAAACGTCTTGATCAGGGCGATCCCTTCCGCATCCGTCGCCGGCACGGGGATGGGCTGCGTGTGGCCCAAATAGCCCGCGCGGATGGGCCACGATACCACCACCTGCAGGCTGTACTTATTGACTCCCTCTTCGGGGCCATGATTGCCGGGGGCGTCGAGTACTATTTGAAAATGTGATTAATGGCTAGTGACAGATAGAATGAGGAAAGGGAACATTGCCAAGCTTGAGGGTATGCATAAAACACAACAATGCATAAAAAAGAAACTCACTGCTAAAGTATACATAAGTGTCGTTCACCGACGACGTCCCCTGGAGGAAAAAGGGGTCGAGGGTCCGCAGTGGAGCGATCTGGTCGGGGGTGCAGTCGACCCTGAGGCCCAGAACGCGGATGGGGATCTGATAAGTCGGCTGGGCGGCGAACAAGGCGCGGCGAACGCGCGACCTGGCCCCGTCGCAGGCTACCAGCAGGCTTCCGGTGCATGATGAGCCGTCGTCGAAGTGGACTGTGACCACTTCTTCTTCTTTGCCATCACTGTCACTGTCACGTCCTGCCGCTTGTGACGATGAGAATGATGTTTCAAATTCGCTGACCGCTTTTCCCCACTGTTTGTTGATTTTTTTTCTGGTTAGGGGGTGTGGTTACACAAGAAACAAAAAGGCATAATTCCTCCGAGAAATTCCTTGGTAGGACTCAGAGAGGGGGAAAACTCACCTCGATATCCACACTGGTGGCCAAAATGCGCCGAAAGCCATCGCGGGTAACTCGGATGCGCCGGGCTTCCGGTGCAAACGGGGCAGCCGACACCCGGTCAACGGTAGCCAGGTCGTAAAAGGGAAAGGCCGATGCCTGCCCGTTGGCGACGGCAGCCCTGTCGGCGTATGCCTCGGGCAGGCGGCGCACCAGTTCTTCAGGCAAAAGAGTGCGCAGGGCCGTCAACGACCAGTGCAGCGTCAGACCCCAGCCCAGCCCCCGCGTCGCCAGGTCGGTGTCCCGCTCGAAGATGCGAAACGCCACCCCAGATTTGCGAAGGTACTGCGCCAGAAGGAGCCCGCACACCCCGGCACCGGCGATGATGACTGGCGGCTTGTGGGCAGAGTGGGGAGTGGGTGAGGACGCCGCCGCCATGTTCGGTTGGTGGGACGGGGGATGGGTGTGTGTGAGACACGGGTTCTGGTCTGTGTGTGTGTGTGTGGCTGGCCGCTGGCGGGTGTGAGTGAGACAGTGAGCGAGCGAGTGCGCTGGCCCTTTGTCTTGGCGGTCCGTTGGCAGCAGCACTTCTTCCTTCCTCTCTCATGCACGGGCAGATAAATAATGTAGATACGATACGCTCTTCAAAGATCAAGGCAAAAAACGTTTATTAACAAAAATTCGCCGCAGGATTCGTGGGGGTTACTGGGAAATCTTGCAGAAGCTGCACGAAAAAGCTACAGGACAAGGTCGGGAATTACCTTTTGGTTTTTGGGCCTGAATGGTAATCTTTGCCGCTCCTTTGCAGCAAAACAAGCGAACTATTGAACCCGGCCCGCTGGGACCCAACCCGCATGAAGACCCTCCCCCCATCGCTCCCAGCTAAGGTAGACAACAATTAACACAAAGGACGCACCTCTCTCCCTCCAGAAGGACAAGTCTGAAATACATGGGGGGGGGGGAGGGGTTGCAGCACAGCAGTGCATTAGCGACAACTGGGTCTTGCTGGGTGTAGTTATTAGCTCGATTCGATAGCCCTGTTTCCCAAAGTCCCCCAGCTGCAGCTTTACGAGAATTTTCCATTTCTTCCATTTGGTATCATTTGCCTATTCTCGGTATAGCGGTCTTTTACTTCTCTCACCTCCAGAATCCCAGTGGGCATGAACAATGCTTGAAAATGCACGATACAACGAGAGAATCAGTCGACTTGCAGGACGCTACGTCCCAATATCGAATGATTGCTCACATTCGCCTTCCTGCACGGTAATACTCCGTAAGCCTACTCAATTCTCGGGATTTAGGGCGGTGACAAGGGAGGGAGAAGAAAGCCATTATCGAAGGCATCATCAAACAGAGGGAACAAGGCCCCGGTCCTCAAGATACCGAACCTCAAGCACTGACAGCTAGTTCAAGGCGGTGAACAAGATAACGATTATGACAGCTCCAAGACCTCCCCCGCGATCAGGGCTGGACTCGCAGCGTCTTTTCGTGGGGGAAAGGCGGAGGGCGAGGAGCGCGCCTTCCTCCTCCCCAAGGTTCTTACGGCAGACGTGCTGACCGCCTGACGCCACTCGCCAAAATTAACTGCTGATTCGGAAAGATAGCATGATGATTTGTGGAAGCCACCCGCTCTTTCCTTCCGACGGGATCCCAACGACCGAACGGGGAGCGGGGGCAGCTGTGTTAGAGGGTGCGCCTCCCAGTTTGTTTGTTTGCGAAGTCGGAACATGAGCTTCGAGCCACACCACACCCACCTTGACGTGGCTGCTGTCATTGTTCTCATAATTTGAACGACTGTGATGAAGTGTCGGTGACAAGATAAAGTGCACTTCAGCTTCTGACCTGGTACCGAAATGTTTGAATCCAGTGCTCAGGTCACCTACGCGCTCTCCATAATAGGAGCAAGCTCACGCCGTCCCTGCTCTTACGAATCTTCTCAATTTCTCGCTTCTCTCTTACATCGCCACCACCTAAATTGATCCGTGGCCCCCTTGCTGTGCTGGTTATTAATCGTTCGAAAATGATTTTGCGATGTTGCATCGCCACCACTTGCACTGGGGTGCGGCAGACAGGGCCATTTTCCTTCTTTTTTCTTCTTTTTTTTTCCTTCTTTTTTTTTGACGTGATAGTGACCAAATTTCTCTCATGGTTTATTTCTCTGAGTGCAATCCATTTTCAAAGCCGAGTATCTGAAAATGAGACAAACTTGATGGTGCTCCACGTCCTCGTTAAGGGCTCAGGCTTGCAACTATGGATTTTAGTTTTTTTCTGAAAATGTATTTGAGTGGAATGAATGGCATGGCACTTGATGTTTCACCATTGCGTATGTTGACAGTCATTCGCACGAGCAGTACTCTACCTCACGCATCCGACATGCACGCTTCCAATTTGAACGGGTTATCATTCGGGTGTTTATCATGGCTCCTCGTTCTAACATATTCAGCTACATAGCATGTTATTCACTAAGATACATTGTCACAAGCCTACTATTCATCCATGATGAGGCTGCTTTTGTGGAAATATACATGATGAAACTCGCCCTTCATACTTCCTGCCTAGATTTTCAGTACTTCTTTAACACGACCAACACAATATGTCCGGAGTTACATTTTTTTTCCCTTCTAGAAACATTTGTCAAGCGTCCAAATCCTTCAAACTGAGTCTCTTTTTTGTCTATCACTTTGGCAAAATGTGATCCTTCGCATTGTTAGTCATCTCTTCATCGACGGACAAAGAACTCGGGCTCAGACAAACCCAACACATGGACTAGGTTACTTACCCAACATGGGCAAACGAATAAGAAAAGATGGGTGTTTTTTGGGAACCAAACACAGCCAATCCTTTCAAAATACACATTTGTGCGTGGATGACAGCATAGTATGAGTGGTGTTCCGACGGGTAGTGGCGTCGCGGTGGATACTGTCTCAGGCTCCTCCCGTTCTCAAGGTACCTAATCCACGATTCCGCTCAGAGACTCCATCCAAAAAAAAGGTACCCAGCTTCTGGAGCCTCAGTAGCATAGTGGCTAATGCGTTGCACTTGTAACACCTTTCGACACATGCAAAGATCGCAGGTTCAAGTCCTGCCTGAGGCAAAACATTCTCGATCATTATTTTTGATCTTCTTTTGAGATACTTTATTTTCTTTGTTAGACAACAGCAATCTTCTTCTTTTCATGGTGAACAGATTTTATTTTATTTTTGCCGCAAGTTATTAGTCTTCTTGCCTGCGCTTTGAATCATCAACGTTGAGCGTGCTGGCATCCTTTGACGTTTTCCGTTTCGTTGGGGTCTTGGGCTCAATATTGACCTTGGGGAGTGCTTCTTTCGGGTCAGGTTTGGACTTGACGGCTGGATTTGGAGTTTTTGTTTCAGGAGAAGCATTTCTTTCTCTTGGACCCAACTTGGTGTCGGCGGTTTTAGACCTCGGAGGGGTGTTAGCTTTCTGTTTTGACGGCGACTGTCTCACAGGTGGAGGTGTCTTCTCGGTGGATTTTGGGGGAGTTTTCCCTCGAGATGCAGGGAAGACTGCTGTCTGAGGGACGTTGGTAGTAGTAGTCGGGCGTCTCTTTGATGTAGTCACAAGACCACGGGGTACTTGTAGGAAACCTGTCATGAGTGCCTGCGGCGTCCTCAGGTTTTCTTTGCATTTGGCCGCGGTAATACGCTTGGACGGGTCCATGTCTAACATGAGCGAGAGTATTGGCGGGAGACATCCGCTTGCGGCAAGAGAGGAGATACGGTAGCCCCAGCGAAGGTACTTGTCCCTTGGCTCATTATATTCTATATTCGTGCTCCCAAGGTTGGCTCGTTTCTCTAACCAGTCTTGACTTTTCATGTCTCGCTCTTCCCAGCAGAAGATACCTGTGACGGTGCCGATCAGAATGCCAACTGACCAGATGCTCGAGGCTGGGGAAATCTTTGAAGCTGGTTGGCAAAACTCGGGTGCTCGGCTGCGTGATATCTGTTGTAGACTCGTCCCACCCTCTTCGGCTCTGAAAACCTCTGAGAGGTCTGCAATGAGAAATTTGTACTCAGGCTCCAGCTTTCCTGGGCATCTAGGGTCCTTGGACGGTACAAGCTTTGCTTTGTATACCATGTTGGCGGGTGAATGAAAGTTTGGATGAAACCTCTTTTCGTCAGAGTTCTCCATAAACTCGATAGCCTCGATCACATCCCGTACCAGCCGTGGCGCCCATCTGGGTATTCCCATATCCGGGTCAACACAGTCCCCAAGACATCCCGACTTATCTTCGATAGTATAAGTATGTTTCGTTTTTGTCGGTAGATCGGATACAAGACCGTCGAATAGTTCGTAGAAGATCAGGAATTTTCCACCTGGAAGAAAACCCTGGTAGCCCTCATATCGAATTAACCGTGGTTTTGGCTCAGCCTCAAGCCCGACAACGGCAGCCGGCAAGTACCGGTTGAGCTTGAAGGCCGTCTCCATCTCCTTCTTGAACCATTGCCTTCCGATCTCGCTGTTTTCGATGAGTTCTTTGACGACCCACAGCTCCCCCGTCATCAAATCGACGGCTTTCCAGACCGCGGAGTAATACCTGTAGCACAGACGCCGATAATAGTGTAAGTGTCGAATAACGTTTGGCAACCTCGAGTACTCGGGGCCTAGGAATGGCTTATAGATGTTTGTCTGCTCACGCTGATCGTGGTTCCTTATCCGAAAATAGGGTTGGGCAGTGGTCACACCCAAATGCCTGGACAAAGCTGCAAGGTTTCTCTGCACTAGTGGAGATTCGAGCGAGGACAGGTTTTCCTCAACAAACCTGGGATCCCACCGCAGATCGAATGTTGCCGCATCCGGGTCTTGCCCGATACTTACCGTGGTGTTGCGAAGCACCCTGGGGAGAACTCGCTGGCGTCGTGCGGTATTTGGGATTGGATAGAGGTGATCTTTTTCTGAATTTGGCTCATTCTTGATGGTGACGAGGTCCTTAGAGCCCGTGACGTTAAGAAGGACCAGCTCCCCTGAAGGGGCCAAGTAGATAGCACAGTGTTTGGTTTTGAATCCGCCGACATCTGGGAGGCGAATGTCACTTGGTTCGTGGGTACCGAATGAAACAAGGAGCCCGGGAGTGATGGACTTCTGGGTTGTGGTGAACTTGAGACATCTGACTTTGATGTCTGGCGACGTCTCTACAAAGCCGGCATAGCCTGGATTTAAAGCAAGGATATCTTGTGCCTTTTTATTCAATGAAATCAAGGTAAAAAATGTTTGAGAAGGAGTCGGGGCTAGTTTGCTTGCCATTGCAAGTAGGTTGGAGGAACAAAAAATATGAAGAGGAAGGGAGGAAAGGAACTTGAGAGTCCTTCTATCAGTTCTACGTGTACTGATAACTGACCAGAGATGCACATGACGTTTTAAGTGTCTAGGACATCAAGTTATTTATCAGCCGCTGAATTCCCCAACTCCTGATTATTGGGCCCGCGAAGCTGAAAGCCACAACACCCATAATATCGTCTCATGTCAATGCAGGGGGCCCGATTTTGGAGCCCATTCGCTTCAAAAAACGGCTAAATGTGGTGTGGCCACTATACCTCGAACCAACTCGCAAGGCGGCCAGTCTTTGCATGTTTCATAAGCCAAAAAGAAAAGACAAGTGACGCCCAACGGAAACAGCTCATCATTTTTTGACAAGAAGATTGGAAGCTGAGAATTTCTTCTCATATTCAAGATGGGAGCCCACACAGAGAGAGGCCTGAGGACTTTCTTATGACCAGTTAGTCATTGGAATGGGTAGCGGCCACTATACTCCGGGCCAGCCGGGCCAGCCGGGCCAGTCCTTGGACACGCTTCACAACCTCAGAGTAAATAAAGTGACAGTGCAACCGACACAGCGCAGTCTGTCCGATCTAACCTGCGGGACGAGAAAAGTTTGGCCGGAAATGAATACCTGATTTCTTTTGACAGCGGGCTGTTTTCTAAATAATTTGACATGTCCAGGCACAAACATTGAACCAAAACCTCGATATCCTCACGTAAGAACCGAATATTACATGCAAGACCCTGAAACCACGCTTAATGCATGGAAATTTACAAAGTTTCGTCAGGACCAACTTCCAGCGATGCAACACTCACAAACGCCCCTTCTTCAAGTATAACCAAGCCGCAGCTCCGATGTCAGTTTCAATTATTTTATTCTACCATTTCCACATGTTTATCCATTCTGAAAAAAATCGATCGACTTGCAAAACAAATCGCACATGCTGAACAGGCGGAACGTGGCATCCACCCATAGCCCGGTTCCACCATCCACACCTTCAACAAACAGCAAAGCACAAGGCGTGATGGCGGAGTGGTCTAACGCGCAAGACTTGAAATCTTGTTCCCTCGGGAGCGTCGGTTCAAATCCGGCTCACGTCGTGATCTAAACATTCCTTTTTGCTATGTTGGTGTAAAATAGTTTCGATAGATAATGCACGGCGCTTCCAGCCAGTTGCATGTCACAAATGTCTCTTCTTGTCAAGTAATTGACACCGGAACCATACTTTCTTGCAGTGTTCAAACAGAAAATTTTGAGTCTTGTGCAACGTGGAGCCATTTCGTCTTGCAGTTCCCTCATGGAGAGCCAGTGGAGAAGATGCACCTGGATCCAAGAGAAAAGGGGATGATAAGTTTGTTTATTACTTGCCTTGAATTCTCGTGCGTGTTTCAATGATCCTTATTTTCAATTTCTTTGTCAAGATGGGTAACGGCTCAGAATTCTTGAATGTTGTGACACTGCTCCGAGTTGCTCAAATTTCATGGTGAGTTGCGATTTGTGTATCTCTAGTGGAGATGCCTCAACAAGGGGCTTCCCGGCTTGTTTCTCTGGAGTTTGTCATCTTCCTTTGCCAAAGAAAAATGGCGAAGCTAATCAGTTTAATAACTGACATTCAAATACGGTTCTTACCTGACATCAATATCCCTGAGATGATGGATCCGTCCATCCCAATCGCCTAGAACTAGGATGATGACGGGAGATCTCACAACGTGCGGTCCGACCCGCAAGAGTGACGGACAGGCCGCTGACAGTGGGTCCAATCTGAGTGTCGCTCAAGGGCAGTGCACTGGGGTTAATGTCGTGCAGCACTCACCATCAGCACTGACACCACTCACAGCGATCTCCGCATCGCCAAACCAGAAGCTCTTACAAGAGAAACACAACCTTTGCTCTTCATATAATTGAACATCAAAACATAAATCATCAATCACTGAACTGCTAAAATGCCGGGCACTTCCCTCTGGCTCCTCCCACCTCCAACACATCCCCTGTACCCCGCCCTCCAAACGCTCATCTCGCGAACCCTCCCAGCTGCCTTCCCCACCGAAACTGCCGCCCTCAGCCCGCACTTTTTTGCGCCGCACATAACGCTCACGTCGGGCATCGCGCCGGAGGTATACGGCGCCGATCCGCAGGCCTGGTTGGACAGCCTGCCACTTGAATCGTGTGTTGGGAAAGTGCGCGTGCGCTTCACGGGCGTGGCGTCGCAGGATGTGTTTGTCCGGCGATGCTTCATCCGCGTCGCGGCGAGCGATGAAGGGGTGAGGCAGCTTGCGGTGCTGGCGAGGGCACATGGGGTGTATGCTGGCGATGAGAAGAAAGCGCGGGAGTGGTTGGGCGAGTGGGAGAGGAGGTGTGGGCCGCATGTCAGTCTGGTATAGTGAGTTTTTGTTTACTTCTTTGTCTGTCCTTTTTTATTTTTTGTGTGTTGGTTGAGTAGGTAAGTAGTCAAGGGGGGTGCAGTGATGTTGCTGACATGCACGTGAATAGTGGAAGTATGCCAATGGATGAGGACAAGCAGCAAGAGGTGGTGAGAATTGTGACAGAGGCAGGGATTACATTGAGTGAGGAAAAAAGAGATCGTGTACAAAAGGAGGAGGAAGATGAAGAAGCAAATGATGAGTCGTGGAATGGATGGGACGGCGGTGTCTTGTGGCTGGTCCAGACGGATGAACCAACTGCAGAGTGGACGCCCATTGTGACACGACAGCTGTAGAATTATCAGTATGCTGATGGGACAAATAGTGATGCACTCAATTGATGTTAGCCTTGGGTAGGAGAATAGTGGAAGGACAAGAATATCAATCCGAACG